GGGAGGAGAGGGGAGGAAGAAGAGAAAAAAAGCACATACTTTTCAACTTTTAGACTGTGAGTATGGGTTTCTTTCTTCCTAACTAAACTCTGCAATGTTTGTCTGAAATGAGACTCAGACAAGTATTCCTGTGTTAGCCAGCCTCCTTCTTCCTTTAGGAGAAACACATCCATTTATAACAAAAGCTGCATGTTGTGACACATCAGTCTTGCTCTGTTTGACAGGATCTGCTTTCTTTACCTTCTCTCAGGTGTCATCATGAGAACTTTAGTATTGTCTTCAACTGCTCCCCAACATATACCCCCTTTTATATTCATTATCTTAATGTTTCATTTAATAATTTTAGTTCATGAAAGTGTACCTAGACAAACAGACTGTTTCTAACCAAACCTTGTAGCTTTGTGAGTTAAATTATCCAAGACAAGCAGAAAATGGAAATGAGTTTAGGCAACAAAGATGCAAAGATTTATGTATGTGCTAACCCAAAGCTCTGTGAATAGTCCTGTTGACTTCAGAGGGATTACTTATAGTCCATGAAGTTAAGCAATCTGTGTAAGTGATTACAAAATTGAAATCTTAGATAGACTGTAATTGAATTTTGAAAAAGGCTCAGAAATTGAATACACAGCTATAAATCACATGTCCTGAAAGACTTATAAATCACAAAAAAAGTTTGAAATATAATTATTTTTCTTAGTAGCTCAGCTGTATGTGGACTAATGAATAGAATAAGAGTAATTTTAAATTATCACAGATCATTAAATGTGAAGTCCCTGAAGCATGTCTTATACGTCAAAAGGTATGAATCTTTGAAGGCACCCTTTTATTTACTTTCTTGTTACAACTCCAGCTATGATAAGTGAATTACTTTCATGACACAGTGAAAGGAAGTTTATCAAATATTAAAGCCAGGTGAAGATCAAAGTTATATCCTACAAGTATGCCTAGTAATTAGGATAGAATCAGTATAAACCAAGTAGATTTGTTACCAGAAATATCATGCTGGATATTTGGAGTGAACACATACTTTGGTTCAATTAACCATCTCTTTCAATGGGTTGCTTGGCCAAAGCCTCCTGATATGGAAAAAATTGTAGCTATTGGTCAAAATGCTTGTAACAAATCTTGTTTTAAATCTGAATTTTATTCAGAAACCAATCTACTACTGCGGTAGTAATGAACGTGTTTTCCCTTGGAGTAGAACTGTTCATGTGCTACTGGAGGACTATTGTTAATTGCCTGTAACTAAATGATTGCTGTGCTTCTGGATGTAACTCCCTGGCACTCACTCATTTGTGTTAACAGAATGCCTGTCCCCCTAAGGTTTAGCTGAGTAATTTTCCTCTACTATTTTCTACATTCAGTCTCAGCTCCTTAAGGAGGGCCAGGTCTGTAATTTGAGCAACGTAACACAGAGGCTAAATAGATTTTAAAAGGTTTGCACTTTTCGTCTCTCCCCTCTGATGTGGAATTGTGTTGAAACTGAATCTTTATAGCATGTAGCCACTACAGGAAACTTGAATTTCAACAGGAAAAACAAATCCCACTTCAAAGGGAGTGTAATGCCTGCTCAAATCATAATTCTCAGCAGCAGAAAAAAATGTTATTGTGAATGTAACCTTACACTCTAACCTTGCTGTTACACTTTAACTAAGCTTTAACAGTTACTACATCATTGTTGACATTGTTGACATACACACCAACACCGGTGGTGTTCGCAGAGCACCTTTCAGAAGTAACCTCTCCTATGAAGGACTCAGAAGCACTGTCCCCAATTCACATTGGGAAAACTGAGGCACAGAAATATGAAATGGCTTCCATCACCCAAGAAGCCAACAGCAGAGGAGGACTGAGCCTTCTGCTCCTCACACCTCCTTCAGTTCAGCACAACACAAGTTAATGTTGTTCATAAAATCCCTACAGTCCAGCCAGCATCCCCTGAGGGCACGGTTAGGCTTTATCATCCTGCAGAAACACTAACTCAAGGCCTGAAAGCAATCAACTTGGTGTGGCACTGTGCCCAGGCCAATCAGTCCCTCCTTCCAGAGCACTGCACAGATGTGGCTGTCGTCCTCCCAGCATTTTGGGGATTAGTTTAAGTATTTACAGGGCTGGGTGCGAGGATGCTGGGCTAATCACTGCTCCCTCTGCCTCTGAACCCTGAGAAATAGCACCCAAGGCAAAATGCAAACGTGCTGATAGACATTGTCCAGCACAGAGGAAAATACAACCTTGCTATACTAGATGGATAGAGCATGAAACTTACTTTGTGAACAAATCTGTTTAAGAAAAAACACCATATCTTTTTGATCATAAGTGATCATGATGGTCTAGCAGCAGCACATGAAAAGGTGATTCCTGTTACTGGGTGACTTAGAGAATTTTGTCGTTGACTTTGGTTGCCTAAATTAGGACAGTTTCATGTGTGTTGAGATAGACTTCGCTGCAGTAAAAATATAAGCATAATCTTGAATTATTTTATGGGGAAAAAGATAGCTAAGAGGGACTCTTTGATGGCAAAAGTGATGCAGTGCATTAGCCAGATTTCATTAACAGTTGCAGAGAACAGATGACTACCTGCAGTTATTTTTGTCATATAATCTCATAATCATTAATTTAGGAAAAACTTTTGTTTTCCAGTTGTAAAGTTTTTCTTTGCCTTTAATGAGTCATAACAGCATTCACATAAATAGAGTATTTTGTGCCTAGCAACCTGAAATATTAAAGCCTTTCTTCTAGTTACCATTGAACACCTGCATCACCTGTAGTACAAAATGATAAACAGGGTATAGTAAGCCACTGCAGAGTAATTTCCTTTTCCATTTATATTCTAAAATACTGTATTACTTGTATATGCAGTTTTTTTGTAGGGCATTTTTGATAACATTCCCTTCTCTGGACCAGAGAAGTATTGAAAGTCTGAAATAAGCATGTCAGCCTTAAAAATAACACAATGGAATTTTCAGCACAGTTTTGGAGACAATGACATGGAATATGAATGTCTTTTTATTTTATTACATTTTTAGTGTCTTCTAGAGAGCAATGAAATCTTCTTACATTTGCCTCAAAATAATAAAAGAAAGTGTGTGATTCTCAGTAGATATAGTCAAAATAAATGGAACTGTCACATTTTCCTGTAATTGAACTGTATTGTGCTGGAGTATCATATTTGCATAACCACACACACACATAAAGGGTTATTTCAGGGTTACCCTGCTTCACTCAGACAAAAGCTGCCCACTGGAAGAGGATACTGTGAAAGTAACATGGAACTGAGCTTTCTCTGCCACACATTTTTATGAAGCAAATTGTGTACCTTAGATCTCTAAGATTTAGTTTCTTGGCATTCCTCAAAACTGACTGAAATTGGAAAAGTATTGGTTGGTGGTCTTAAGATTTGCCATCTACTGCTCATTTCAAATTACAAATTTGTTAGCAACGCTCCTCTCCTTCCACCCTCCTTTGTTTAACATTGCCAGTTTTCAGTCAATAAGCAAAGTAAAAGTAACAACAAAATGGATGCCACGTAGCTGTGTAAGCTTCCTTGAGCATGCAATAGTTAAGATTGGGAGAGGCAGAAGTCCATGATAGCATATTACTTATGCAGTGATAAGTCCCCACTAAGAATAGCGCTGGTGATAGATGATTTTTGCCATATTTGACCAAAGTCCCTATCTTTAGAAATGGAGCTAAATGGCAACAATCTCTACATCATGTGAAACCAGTGATAGAGTGCAGCAAAGACATGAGAGGGTCACGGTATGAATGGGAATGCCGGAAAGGACAAATTGTGATGGTTTGCTGTGACTACACATAAACTAACCCCAACTAAGGGACAAGGAAAATAAAGATGAACTGCAGATTGCTGGGAAACTGTGTCATAGATAGTAAAATATACCTGAGATGTGAGGATGTGGGGTTTTTTTGATGATTTGCCTTCACGTCTCTTAATTTAATTTTTTTAATTTTATTTTTTTTTAAAAAAAGTTTATTAAAGGGAAAAAATCTTATAATTAGGTATTTCTTCAAAGGCCCTATAACAAAATAAATACATGATTAACCCATCATTCATTATTCTATTTTGTTTAATATAAATGTGAGATCTGCTGCTAATATTTATCTCTTTTGGAATGTGGTGGTTACTGCATTTGTAATTCTTTGCAGAGCTGATGTACACAGTTGAGCTTGCTGGTGGGCTTGGTGCTATTCTGCTGCTGCTTGTTTGTTTAGTGACTATCTACAAGTGTTACAAGATAGAGATTATGCTCTTCTACAGGAATCATTTTGGAGCTGAAGAACTAGATGGAGGTAAGGCAGCTTCTTAATATGTTTCCTGCTTTCTAAGTATTCTTTTTAGTTCTCTCCACTAAGGCCCAAATTTGATTTCAGTATGTATTAACAACTGCAGCTTTTATTTCTCACTGCATTAGGCACTGACTTGAATATGCACTCCTCATACAGCACATTAGCAGCGGTGATTGCTGAGCTGATGTATGTTCTGCTCTCTGGAGCTCCAGTAGACACCCAAGTCTTTCAGATTTTTATTCCTTACACTGAATGTAAATTACCAACATTGATGCATTAAAGATTTTCACTTTGTCAGTACTGCAAGCCAGCTTCACTTCTCCATAAGCTAGAGAGTCTTCCCTAATTATATTCACCAAATAGGTAGAGGTTGAAGTGAATCTCAATTTACTGCTTGTTTAAACTGATCAGTTTCAATAAACTGTACCAAGTGTTTGGGAATCTACCCAGCAGTTCATTTTCTTGAGTTCATTTACTTAATCACTGAAAGAGCGG